ATGATGTTCTATTGCTTTGAATTGGATGAAGAGAGCCAAAAGATCTGCACTCTCACCACAACGCACGGCAACTACAGATGCTTACGATTGCCTATGGGACTTAAATCATCCCCAGATTATGCACAGGCTTTCATCACCAAGATCTTGGTTGACCTTGATGTTGAAGTATCTTAGACCTCTTACGATCCTCAGCACTAGGATCGTATAATACATATATATATATATATATTTATATATAAACAGTACCTTACTAAAGGTATGTAGGAATGGTATGTCCATCCATTCTGAGGGATCCTCATATGTACGTATGCTCCCTTTATAGTACGTATGTATATTTCCTTTACAGTACCTACGTATCTGTTGCAGCAGAACCTCCATGTAGATTCCTCAGTACCAGATCTACATGAGGATCTAATCGGAACTTTGGAATTCTCGTGAACGCGCTTGGTAATCTTCAAATAATTCTAATCTTATAATTTCAATTTTCATACACACTTTAGAGTACACGTAATCTTGTGCACGGATATAAGGGTGGACCAATTTCAAGGGGTTCACCATTTTTGATAATTTTAATCATTCTTATTAGCCAATCAAATTGCTTGATTCTGATGAATATCACTGTTATCCCTAACTCTGAATTAGTCGTCGTAAAATGACATCCGTAGGTACGGGTACCCGAACGGGTTCGAATTACTATCGTTCAATTACCTGTGATGCGGTTCTGTAATCGTAGTACCGTAGGGAAAAACTTTTCAGATCTTCCCCCGACAGCGATTCTGTACGGTACGTTAGTGTATCGTTTTGTCACAAAGAAACAAGAGTCTTCCCATCTGTTTTTTTATTTTTAGAAGTTCGAAATCGACTTCCTTGTGTTCCATACAGTACCAAGTATCGTGCCCAGCTACAGCAAGGCTACTGACGACCATAACGGTAACGGTATGCTTTTTTTTTTCGGCTTCAAAGAGAAGTAGGGGTCGCCATACTGTAAAGTAATCATCGCTGCCAACGAAAGTACAAGAACACGAAGAATGCAGCCTTGGAACAATCGCGCCAGGCAGGGCCAAGGAAAATTATTTGCAACACTAGAAAAACTGAGTGCAACGAGGTACCGCTATAATGTCTATCGGCAACTCTCCCAGTATTTTCTCAAACAATAGAATCAACACAAGGATAACAACTGATTGCATTCAATAAATTGATGGCTACAATGTCTTCCATTCCGAGAGTTCTTACGAACAAGACAGTGCTTACGGGGTAGGTCCCTGTTTTTCGAGCGAAGCGAAAGTGAGGCAACGTGGATAATGCCTAAATTCGACTTCTGGATGCCCGCCTTTTTTGGTTCAAATTTTGGTTTTGATGCCGTTTGAATCATTCATTTGATATACACGACAATGAAGCCTGTGCTTCGCACTATGCGTCATCGCAATGTTATCTGTTTTCTCCAGTTTACAGCGAAACCCTAATTTTCTTTTGTACTCATTTACATTTCATACCTCTTAAAAGGATTACGAATTCAGGATTGAACGATTTCTCTGTCATCAAACCAATTTTCGGAAAAGCAGCGAGGATGGGGAAAGTCATCTCGACAGCTCCCACAGTAGTTTCTCCAAAGATGAAAGGAACCTTCACGGCCGATCTGAATGCAGTTCGAAGCTGGGGTCCTTCGAATTTGGGGAAGCCCAATTGTGTCCTGAAAGGAATTAAGTTTGGAAGTTAGCCAAAGCGACACTCTAAAGTCAAAAGTAAAGCCATTGAAATGTTTGTGGCCCTGCGAAAATGAGGCTGCTAGATTATGGAAATATGGAGTATCAATCAGCAATCTCTATTCAGTGCATTCAAAGGCACACGTAGCATCTTTCGTCATGCTCCAAGTATTTAACGTGTTCTAAGTATTGCTAAATTTAGAAATAGACCACTTCTGTGCATAACCGACAAAATGGCTTGTTCCGTCATCGTAATTCCTTTTTTTAATTTTCATTTCCAGGGAAGAAATCATATTCAAAATCGTAATGAAAAATGAAGCAACATTTAGAGTTGAAGGCAAAGATAGAGTTGTTTCATCTAGCTAGTGGTGCGGTAGACTGAATACTTTCTTCAAATTTGAAAAAGCTTAACAAAACATTTTGAGGAACCTACAAGAAGCTGTTGAATGTGCGCGCATCGAGACGGAAATTTTACGCGCGTATATCCGATGACATCAACAATTTCTGGGTTGACACCAAGGTGTCAAAATACATGAAATATGAACCACAAATACCTATTTGGAAGCATTACCMGTAGAATAACTAAGAATTGATGGGTAATCATATACCCTCATTCTTTTTCTTTTATCTAGTCAACAGGGTTAATGCTACCTCTACTCTTTAAGACTTCATGGAATGATCGATCAACTTGATCCGACACCATTGAATCAACATAAAAGAAAAAGAAAAAAATATACAGTGGAACGCTGTTCCCAAGGGACCAGCGGATCACTCGATACCCTGATTAGCATCCGTAAGACGTGATAGCAAATCATGGAGTCGTCGCTCAAGAGCGGAGCCACAGATTCAACTGGCAAGTCCTCGGCAGTAAGCTGGGGCACCAACACAAACACACCAGCCTGAAACCAAGGTGGCGGGAATGGAAACAACAAACCAAAGAACGGAGGGAACCAGTCAAGGAAAAATAACAACGAAAACAGCTCCTCCAAGAAATTTACAGGACACAACCAAGATGACCTCAAGGGGTATGTACTGACAGAAATGTCCACAACACAGGACTACACTGCATTCAAGGAGCGTGTAGAGGAAGATCCATAGAAACCATGAGCACACTCCGGCTTGCAGACTTTGCGCCAAGGAAGTCCAAAGAGGCAGACTGGATGATCCCAGACACAAACAAACCAGGATATAAGAAGGTCGTGGATGAAGACCTGAAGGCCACAGCGAACAAGATATATGAGGCACAGATCGGGGAAGTAGCAAAAGAACTTCTACGATATCAAAGGGACATGGAAAAGATGTACAATGTTGTACTCGGACAAATTGACAATGGACTCAAGGAGAAGATCAAGGCCCATGATAAGTGGGACACGGCTAGCAAATCCAAGTGTGTCATCACTCTCCTATCCATCCTCCGGGACATTTGTTTCCAAGGAAACAGAACAAAGGTACACCCGCCTTTGAACTTCATTCGCGCTTTGCGAAAACTCATATGCACCAGACAAAGGACCACCAACGACTGTGCGGGCTACGTAAAGTCCACCATCGAGGCCTATGAAGTTTTTAAGTCGCTTGGTGGATCCATTGTATGCCCAGCGCTAACAATGCACTTACTAGACGACAGTAAAGACATATCCTACACCGACTACACCGAGATGTCACCCGAGGAACGCTCACTGATCGACATTCAAGTAGAGCAATGTTTCCTTGCAGCACTCATAATTGAAGGCAGCGACACTGATACAAGCACATTAAAAGAGACCCTGGAGAACGACTACTGCCTTGGCACCAAGAACTACCCAACCACAACTACCAAGGCCCTCGACATGCTTAACCACTTCAAAAACACAAAGAAACCCAATCGCTCCTCCTCCAACAAGTCTCAAAGCAATAGTAACAAGCACCGCAACCAGAAGAGGCAACTATCCAGCAACGAGGCAGCTGAAGACTCCACTACACTCGTAACCAAAGGTGAAACACCCAATCCGGCCGAACTTAACAGTCGCCAACTCCTGCTCAACGCTATCGCCAGGGACGACGTATTCGAAAGCGATCACTTCAGTTTTTTCCAGTACGGTGTCCTCTCTGATGCACAGCAGCACAGCAACTCTGATCACTCCTCACCACCAGTGGTCAGTGACCCCGACAACTGGATGTACTGGAACGCACACAATTGGTCCCCTTCACCAGACAATAATGATGACTCATCCGCTTGTAGTTTTGATAACCGTACTGAACATAGTAGCAACACATCAGCCCCATACACAGTTCGCACTGCATCAGAACAAGCATCGCCCGGCCATGATATGCATGCATCAATTCCACCCGCGTCAACAGAACTTCCCACTACCGTAGAATTCTGTACTCCAAACGAAGATATTTCTACGCTCACCTCTGTGTTCTTGCCGCCTCCACCACACCGCTGGAGGAGTGAGACCCCCCAACGCGCTGACGATTACATGGACCTCATAGATCTATTTGATCCCCCTCCGCACGCCGAAGGACAGACCAACGATGCAGAACAGCAACAGCAAGAACCCAGGAGTGGTGCCAGCCATGCACCAACAATCAAGGAGTGGAACAACGCAGTAAATGCCAAACAGACAACCAATTTCAAATACAGTGAACCCGTACAACGACTGCTGGCACAACACACAACAGGAGCAGTCGATCCAGCATGGATACTATTGGATAGCGAATCCTCAATCAACCTCATCTGTAACAAAGCAATGGTCAAGAACATCCGTGTGTCCCCAAACGCCCGCTACATGAATATTCACTGCAACTCAGGAGTGGCAAGGACAAACCTAATAGCAGAACTTCCCGGCTTTGGAACTGTATGGTTCTATGAAAAAGGAATTGCAAACGTACTATCACTGGCGCTCGTAACTGACCGGTATCGGGTGACTATGGACTCAGCAGTAGACAACGCACTGCATGTTCACCGACGCAGTGGACACGGGACCCGCAGGTTTAAAAGATCCCAATGCAACCTGTACTATAGTGATACAAAACAAGACCATTTGAACGTACTTGCAATCACCACAAGTAAAGGAATCAAGGAGTTGTATTCAAGCCTGGACCTACGCAGAGCAAGAAAAGCAAGGGACCTGCAAGAAAGACTGGGTCTGCCAACCACGGAGGATTTCATACGGGTAATAGACAACAACCTAATCAAGAACATTGCGGTAACTAGGAGGGACGTGAAGATGATGGGGGAGATCTATGGACCACACGCAGGAGTCGTCAAAGGGAGAACAGTGCGTCGAACACCTGGACACGTGCGTGAGGACATAACAGAAGCACCACAATCAATACTAGATAATTACAGCAACATTGTCCTCTGCATCGATATATTCACGATCAATGGAGTGCAGTTCTTGCATTCAATATCGCGACATATAAGAGCACGCACCGCTAAGGCAATTGCGGACCAAAAGAAGCCAACCCTCATGCGAGCAGTAAAGGCGATCATTGGACATTACATTTCCCGTGGGTTCAAGGTCACTCAAATACACGGAGACAACCAATTCAAGTGTCTCAGGGACGATTTGCTGGGAATGAAGCCTCCAATACAGCTGCACTGTGTGCCGGCGGGACAACATGAGCCCACCGTTGAACGAAGCAATCGAACAGTGAAGGAAAATGTGAGAAGTATATTCACCAGCCTGCCCATAAAACGACTGCCAAAGAGGTGTCTAATAGAGTTAGTGTACGCAGTCACATTCTGGCTCAACTGTAGAACAACGGGAGTGTCCCCAACAATATCAGCACGTGAGCTGTTAACAGGAAATGTGTTTGACGCTAATGAAGTCCGATTTCAGTACATGGAATACATACAGGCTCACCACAGAGACACTGACAACACCATGAAACCCAGAGCCGACAACGCCGTCTATATGAGGCCAACTGGAAGCCTGGCTGGAGGATTCTTTGCCTATGACGTGAATACAGGACAGCTCATTCGCCGACAGACCGGAGTGTCACTGCCAATGCCGGATGCTGTCATTAAGAGGCTCGAAGGGATTGCAAAAGCTGAAAGCATGCCGCAAGGACTCGTGTTTGGGTACCAACAAGGACTAACCACAATACTTGACCTACATACGGAGGACCCAGTGGGCGATGACAATGATGCAACAGATGGATCATACAACCCGGCGGATGATGACAGTCACCAGTCCAATCAGCCCTCAGACGAGTCAGTCGCACTGGGATTCATCGATGAAGCCAGAGCAATAGCGGAATCAAATGATCCAATAGAGCAGGACCACACAGTCGCAGAACTGCAGCAAGATGAGACAGAGCAGGCAGACACCGACACAGAACACTCACCAAATTCGGACAACGAGGAAGAAAGAGGGGATGAGGCAACAGAGGCGACTGCAGAACCAGCGCCAAGGCCAAACCTCTGGCCTAGAGTGGCCAGAACACACAACAAATATGGGGCCGATGATGGGTTTGAACCAAGCCTACACACCAGATCATTCTTCACAGCTGGGTACACCGAAGCCATATCCAGAATATGTGAGGAGCACAGCATGCTGATGTTGGTGGCTGCAGCAATCGAACATTACAATAACATTGAGGCGACCCACTCCACCAAGCAGTATGGTGTTCGTCAAGGAATCAAGATCTTTGGCGAAGAAGGGGTAAATGCGGTGTTGAAAGAACTAAAACAGTTCCACGATAGGGGAGTCATATCAATGATCGACCCGAAGATGATGACCAGGGAAATGGTACAGCAGGCCTTGCCATATCTGATGTTCCTTAAGCGGAAACGGGACAACTCAGTAAAAGGGCGAGGATGTGCAGATGGTCAGAGACAAAGGGAATATATCAACAAGGAGGATGCAACATCACCAACCGTGTCACTGTACGCGCTAATACTATCATGTCTAATAGACGCTATAGAACAACGCAATGTAGCCACCGCAGACATACCAGGGGCCTTCCTACAAACAGAAATGCCCGATGATGAGAATGTATACATCCGGCTGGACAGAATGATGGCAGAGCTACTGTGCAGAGTTGACCCAAAGCTATACACGAAGTATATTAGTGGAAAAGGTGGAAAGAAAGTGCTGTTCGGAAGGGCCAAAAAGGCCATACACGGCACCCTTCGAGCAGCTCTGCTGTTCTGGGAGAAACTGTCAGGAAAGCTCATTGACTGGGGTTACAAACTAAACCCATATGACGCATGTACAGCCAATAAAGTGATAAACCAGGCACAATGCACCATCGTGTGGCATGTGGATGATCTAAAGATATCGCACCGTGATTTGAAAGTGGTAGACCAAGTAATTAACGATTTAAACACTGAATTCGGGAAAACAGCCCCGCTCACAGTTACAAGGGGAAAGATCCACGACTATGTCGGGATGACCATTGACTACACAAGAGAAGGCCAAGTAACCTTCAGTATGTTCAATTATCTTGAGGAGATTCTAGAAAACCTGCCAGCAGAACTTGATGGATGTGAATCAGCAACACCTGCCAGGGATCATCTGTTTAAAGTAAATGATGAATCACCGGCGCTGAGCGAAAAGTTAAGTGAGCAATTCCATCACTACGTCGCAAAACTGCTATATATGGCCAAGCGGGCCAGGCCGGACATACAAACCGCAGTGGCATTCCTGTGTACAAGAGTGAAAGGGCCCGACCAAGATGATCTAAAAAAGTTAAGGCGCGTTATGTCTTATCTCAAGGAGACTCCTTTCTTGCCACTGGTGCTCGGGTGGGATCAAACCGGATCCATATACTGGCATGTTGATGCAGCATTTGCCGTACATAAGGACATGAGGAGCAACTCCGGGGGCTAAATGTCACTCGGAAAGGGGGGAGTAATAACCTCTTTGACCAAGCAGAAGCTTAATACCAAAAGCTCCACTGAAGCGGAAATTGTAGGAGTGGATGACCACATGTCCTTCATCTGCTGGGCCAGGTATTTCCTGCAGGCACAAGGCCAACATATGACCGACAACATTGCAGACGACGCCAATGAGAGCAACAAGATCGGGGAGAACAACATCCTGTATCAGGATAACACCAGCGCAATAAAGTTGGAAAAGAATGGAAAGGCGTCAAGCTCCAAAAGGACCAAACATATCAATATCCGATACTTCTTCATCACCGACAGAGTTAATAAAGAGGAAGTGACGGTGGAGTACTGCCCAACCGACGACATGATTGCCGACTACTTTACAAAACCACTACAAGGGTCCAAGTTCAGGAAGTTCAGGAACATAATCTTGGGCATAGACGAGAAGGAGTACAATCACTATAAGAGAGTATACTTCGATGCCAAGGCGTCATGATCCAAGGGGTGTACCATTGCCGAGAACACATCGATGATTCCCATGGCAAGCGCCGAATGACATTGTGAACAACACGAGCCCTCAGTGTTGATGACACACGTACTGGTACACGAACATGGTACAAGGAGTGTGTTGAATGTGCGCACATTGAGACGGAAATTTTACGCGCGTATATCCGATGACATCAACAATTTCTGGGTTGACACCAAGGTGTCAAAATACATGAAATATGAACCACAAATAC